GGAGCATCGCCAGAAAACACCCCCATCGTGTTTTTCGAAGGCTTTTAAGTGTTTCTTGACTGTGGAGAATCTTGACCCCCATTGGTTATTTCAAGGGACTAAAATTCTCCAAAACACCCTGTTATCTTAGTTTCGCTTCCTTTTTTATTCATTATATTTAACTTAAAATTAATCTACTATTAAAAATAGAAACTTTAAATATAATGTATCATCATTTTATTTGATAACTCCGACAAATTGTATCTCTTCTGCCATTGGCTCGGTATATATAGAAATATGATAAGAAAAGAGAAATGAATTTAATAATTTTTAAAATTAATCTATTATTGGAATAAAAACGCTAAATACAACGTGTCATAATCTTATTTGATAACTCCGACAAATTTTATCTCCTATGCCATTTGCTCAGTATATATAGAAATATGATAAGAAAAGAGAAATGAATTTCATAAATTTTTTAAATTAATCTACTATTAAAAAAAAGAATCTCTAAATATAACGTGTCATAATTTTATTTGATAACTCCGAGAAATTGTATCTCTTCTGAAATTTGCTTTAGTATATATAGAAAGATGATAAGAAAACAGAAATACATTTCATAAATTCTTAAAATTAGAAATCCAAACAAAGCTACATTATTATAAAATCTAAACACTAAAAATAAGAAGTTTGCTTATGCTAAAGGTAGTGTATATAAGTGCATAAATTATGGATATAATTAATGATATGACTATTTGAGTAACATATTTTGTATTTCTTTTTCTTTGTTAAAATATATTTTTATTTCTTTATGTGTTTATATGTCTTAAAAGTTATAGGCTTTCTGTGTACTTCATCTGTGTAAATGTGTATATAAGAGTGTTATAGGTTCCTCAACAAATTTCAGCTCGAGAGCTACTCATTCTTATTTGATTTCTCTGCTATTTTCAAATCTAAGATAATGGTTTGTTGCATACCGCTTTCGCCAACAAATGTTCCTAACAAGTAAGCCTAATACTTTATATTTTCTTTTTTCTTGCCAGCAGCCTAATACACTTACTTACCCCAGATCGGTGATCCAATCCGGTGGTGTAATGTTTACAAAAGAAACATCAACTCTTATACTTTAGTTTTAAGAAAATTTTCTTTATAACTGATCAATCTTCTTTTGTATTTTTCTAGTAAGTCGGAAGTAGCATTCAAGATACCGATGAATTGTATCGAATGCGAGAGAATCATGACTGACGTTATTTCCAAATTCAAAGGTAGAATAAAATTTATATTCATAGTTAAAAGTGATGATATATAATATGATATGCATGTTGTAACTTTTTTTTGTTTGTTTGAATGATGTGTGATTATAGGGGTTGACAAATATGTGACAGATTTAGAGAATGAAAAGATTTTGGTCACTGGAAGTTTTAATCAGGAAAAGTTGTTGAAGAAACTCGTGCTCAAAGTTAAAAAAGAAGTGGAGATTGTGAAAAAGGAAGAGAGGAATGTGGAACCTGAAATTGTTGAAAGAGCTGAAGAATCTGAAATAGTTGAAGAAGAAGCAAGAACCGAAGTGGTTGCTGAACCAAATAGTCATGAGATTAAGGATATTGAAAAAATTATGCTGTTTAGTGATGCAAATCCGAACGCGAAATGTTCGATTTCTTAAGCATAGTTTGTCATATAAACCTTTTGATAGGTTTTTGGCATTTGTTTCCCTTTCATTTTTAATTGAAGTCATTGGAATTCTCCTAAAAGTCTCATGGTGGACTGATATTTGTATAATGAGTATCACATTTCTCCTGATTTTGTAATTCGAGTTAAATTGTTATGTACTTCCTTCGTC